AAAATTAAGAAATATATCGTGATATAAATTTTTGCCATATCGTCCAGGCCTACTGAGCGGATATGGTGAAGTTCATCCTGTCAGAAGGGTCCCAGTATGCCGGTGAAAATACCGACACCCCCCCCACTGCCACCTTTTTCCAGTCAAGCACATCTTTCTCTACATTTCTAACAAGGATTTGCTTGCGAAATGCTTTAGTCTGGATTACCCAGAAGGAGGTTAAAAACCAATATGTCAGCATAAAAGAAAAAAAGTCATTTAAAAAGCTGATAACTAGACAGAGTGAAATGCCGGCAAAGGAATGTACAAATCATGTACATTTATAAACAATAATGTTCCAGTCTGGTCTCTCTCCCTCTCCCTCTCTCACCAGTTTCTGGTTCAGTCCTGGGGGGGCCCAGTCGTAGGTGATGGTGTTGAAGGTGGGGTCCTTGCGCGACACCACGGGGTTGGTGATGATCATGCGGTTGCGCTTGTATACGCGGGCACCATCGCCGCCCTTCACCTTGGCCGTCAAGTGGGCGTAGCGCGACTCGGCCAGCAGGCTGCCCATCTTGCGGTCATCCTCACTGTCCGAGCTGGGGGCGTGCTCCTCCTGGCTGCAGCGGCACTGGGTGCAGGCTTTCCTGGGAGGGCGGGGGGCCAAGTCACACACACACCAAGAGGTCCAAGACTCAAGAATGCCATCTGCTATACTCTCCACTAAACACAAAGAACTTTAACATTAAATACAGTACTGTGCCAAAATCTGAGACGGTCAAAAAATGTTGAAAGCTACTTATCTGAGTAGTAAATGTACACTTGTTCAGAAATAAACAATCTAACATTAGAATATATGCAATCTAGCAGCAACACCATAAATTAGTTACTGATATCTTGTTGGATGGCTAGAAGAACATAGGTTCAGGTCCCAAACTCCCCCTCCAAACCTCTGCTAATCCAAATCCAATCTATATATTCCATAAATTCCATCATGACACAACAAATTAATTAGTTAAATTATATGAAGAGATACATTTTAGCAAATATGATATACTATGACAGTGGTTGGAGGTTAACGCGAATACCAGAGACGTTTTGACATGGCTGACAGTATCACAGACAAAATAAGTTTCACACCAACATGAAGATCATCTAAACATACTTTTCTTTGTCTGCCCACGACTTCAGTGGATAAGGGAACCTGGGGGACACGTGTGACACTTGCTCTGGGCGTGACGGCAAATGGAGCCATGTGACATGGGAAGGGAGGGGCCTTATTTAGGAACCGGGAGGAAAAAAAACAAAAGGGCTACTGCTTCAGCTTCAGCAAGTCGAAAAACAAAACGGGCACCAGGAAGGGGCTACAGCTGAGTGCGGGATGTGGCGTCGGGGTGTGGGTGTGTTTGCTGACTGGCCGCTATGCACAGGAGAACCAAGTATGCGTGTCTACCACACCCTATCCGTCTTACGAGATTACGCCGAATTTGGGGTCAAAGACGACAATACAGCCGCCTTCCTGAATCCAAGCACTAATTCCGAAGAAGCAGCTGCAAATCCAAGCCAGAAATCTAACAAGGCAACCATGTGCTGGAATCTCACACGTCCTCCATGCAGCATCTGATTTTCACTGCAAAATAGTATTTGCAGTGGCAGATATCTGGGGGAAAGCCTCTTGATTTCACGGTGCACGAGAGCAGTGTTTCTATTCTGGTGCTCCGGGACCCACAGATGGTCCATGTTTTTGCTCCCTCTAAGCTCCCTGCCAGACAGTACAGATTTTTTGCTCCCTTCCAGCTCAATCCCAAGGACCCGATTGGGAAACCCTGCACTAGAGGGACGGAGCTGCTTTGGAAGGAGCTTGGTCCGTGGGTAAGGCTTCACCTGCACCAAGAGACAGGCTTTCTGAGAAATCATGGATCCCAGCAGGGTCCCGGCCATCACCGCTGCTAACGGCTCACCACGGCACACTCGCTTCAGGCCTCCGCACGGCCCCATGAGACAGCTCTGCGGTTTGGCCGTCCTTGACAGATATGAAGTGGAAATTCAGGCATAAATCTGATTACCAGCGCGTCCTCAGGAGACTCACACAGAGCCCCGAGTCAAGGAGCCTCAGAGCGGCCTTCAGCAGGTGACTTAAAGAGGAAAGGGGCCTCCCCACCCAAACAGGGCAACTTCTACACCATCACAGACTCGTGAATCTCAAAGAAAACAGCCTGTCCCTGATGCCCATATAAGGTTAAATAGAGAAAAGGGGGGGGGGTTTGAAAGGTAATATGATTAATTACAAAAACAGGCAAGAAGCATGGAGGAATCTCAGTGGTGGATTAAACTGGGCAACAAATTCGACAGCCATGGGGGGGGGGGGGTGCTTCACTTGTTTCTTAGCTGTTTTTGCATAGAGAATAAATTACCTCCAGGAATGTGGCTGGAATCCAGAGCAGATCCCCTCACATGTCAGACAGACCGCACCTCTTCCTGCTGGCGGCCGCTCCACTGACATCTGGGGAGGACAAAAGAAAAACATGGAGAAAGGAAGACGGGAATTTAGGGAGCCGGAGGACTGGAAGAGGGAAGAGGACTACACTGGGACGGTTTCATTAGGGGGGGGGGGGATAAGGGGACAGGCACAGTCACACGCCCCGGGGCACAGACAGATAAACACAGAGGAGTCCGGCGTGCGTAAGAGTGTGTCAGAGCGGAATGAGACAGAGCGAGGCGGGGAGGAAGCCAGTGACAGAACGTCTCCGGTGACACTTCCGACGCTGACGCCCCCCTCATTTTTGCAAAACAAAATAAAGGCTTGAACCTCACAGGCCGTAGTGCACCCTCCCCCTCACCCTCGCACGAGAGATCTGCACTGACAAACACATTCAATGAGGTACCGATGTCTCACGTAGCCCGAGTGCATAACTGCCGTCTGTAAGGGCTGTCTCAACACGCCCAGACTGACGTGTCCCCAGTCCCCACGGTCCCCTTATGGCCCAAACCTGCACGCCCGTGAGCCCCAGAGAGGCACACGATTATGCACTGCAGCCGTTTATTTTCACATGGCACGAGTGCCAGCTCTTTTCTTCCCTCTCTCTCCGTAGTCCTCCGCTCACGGAAGCTCAAGGAAGCTTCCCGCAGTGACAAAGGGAGGGAAGCCATCAGGGCGCAAAATATTGTGTCGCGCAACGTCGACGGGTCAGGGCTTGTGGTCAGGCTCCCGGAATGCTAGGCTGAGGGCGTGGGGGGCGAAAGAATCACATCGCCGACCAAAGGGCACCTGTGATGGCATGTCCACTAAAGCCGGTGGTGAAAAGGTGAGGGTAAAAATAACACCAATCTACAGAAGGTGAAACAAACAAAACATTGAGGAGCCATGGCACTAAACCCTCCCCTAATCCTTCTGCATCTGACCCCCCCACGCCCCTCCACCCGGATCACCCCTGGGTTGTGTAAGCCGTCGCCCGGCGACATGCCAGTATGTCACAGATAAGTGCCAAAGCGACAGAGCAGCCACACTAGGGCTGATGGTCGTGTGTGGTATAAATAAACGGCACTCCATGTGATTGGTTCTGGAGAACCACCACGTTTGGTTCCCACGCTCAACAAATAAGCTTGTGTTGCACGGTTTTGACAAGATTATGATTAGGTGTAGCTGGTAGCAGAAGAGCGTTATAGGTCTGATGGTGTTCTCCAATATGAGGATGCAGATTAATACAAAAAAAAGGTCTGTGACAGACTGTGTAAAGTTCTTATTAAAATGCATCTGAGTTTCCATAGTGTAGAGGTTGTTATGTTTGCCTAACACGTGAAAGGTCCCCGATTCGGGCGGAAGCATGTTTTGGGGGCAGAGTGGAACTTGGTGGTTCCAAGTGTCTATGCTTGTGATCAGAAAATTGCCGGTTCAAGTCTGGCTAGAGTAAGATCCTTAACCCCCAGCTCCCTGGGTGCCGCTACGGGTGGCTGCCCTCCGCTGCCAAGATGGCGTAGGCAAAAAGAGAAGTTCCCCACGGGGATCAATAAAGTATAATCATTTAATTTCATCAACCGCTTGTTGGCTTCCAGTCCAGGATGTACCCAGACCACCACCCCCTCACAACACTAACCGCGAGAAACTACTGAAAATGGATGGATGGATCAACCATTCAGTTATCTAACTGGTCAAGGGCTATAAATTAATTATTAATCTAAGTAATAAGTGAATTAACCATGGGCATAAATAACAAGGGGTTGTAACAACCCCCCCCCCCCCAATCAAAATTGGCCAATATAATCCCCCAGACCCAGGCAGACCGTGAGTAAGTAATTGTATTGTCATGAGGAATGGGTAGAGACCACAACCCGCCCCCCCGATGTTCAACTCAAAGTTACACCCTTGGAATGAACTGGTTGTCAATGAACTTAAACAAATGAAAGATACAACTTAAGATAAATCTTTTTAGTGTTCTTGTTTCTATAACAGAATGCAGCTACGATCTGTCAGAATTCAACCCACACCAGTCAGATTCGATTAAGTCTGGGGTCATGTCTGACTGCTACTCAACCGACATGGTAAACATCATTTCTCACTCTTACTGGTGATGAAAAAAAGAGATGACCTAGAACACCGGGGGGAAAAATGTGTTAACTGGCAAACAAGCCATTGTTGCGGGGCTATAATTGTTCTCGCATGCAACTGAGACGATGAAGAAGAAAGCAGAATAATGAGTGAAAGATCTGACCTCGCACGTTTTTCAAAACATGTCAGTCATTGACAAGTTAATTCCACGGGAAGATATTTGGAAGGAGAAAAATTAGCTCATTTCAAATAGGCCTACTGAAGTCAAACAATGGCATTTCTATCCAGTCACCTTTTAGCGAAGACAGAATGGCAGCAAAACTGAGTTTTTGAACGAGTGCCATCTAGCCCACCATGTAGTAAATGAGTCAGCATCGCAAGGCTGGGTCTCAATTTTGATGCGTCAGCATTTGGAGCTTCATAAAGGAAATAAGAAAATATCAACGAAATAAATCTCACTGAAAGTTATCTTTGCATACTGTGAGGTCTGTAAGACGTTCAGCTCTCGTCCTCTTAACTACTGCAATTTTCTCTTTAAAAACGAGAAGATAAAAGAGAAGTGGGGGGTTGCTGAAATGTTGGAAAGTATTTTAATGGGGGCTGCCGTTTCAGGGGGAGGTTGAGGCGCGTCTGGAAGTGCGCTGGACCCGCAGGGAAACGCCGCCGCGCTGGGGCCACATTCTTGGAGACGGTTCGCCGGGCAACAATGCGCGAATTCACGGCAAAGCCCTCGAGAGGTCCGGCCCACTTAAGATAAATTGCTGTTCGGTTTCTTTATTCTTGGAGGTCTTATCCTGTGAATTTCTGAACGGAATGACTGCCCTAAATGTCAATCCGTTGGATATTTCCCTGGCTTTACTAAGAAATTACGCCAGAAATTCACATCAGGGTGGGTACATTACTGAAAATTCTAAAAAGTCGTTAAATAAAACATAAATAAATAATACACACATGACAGCGGTTGTCCGGCTTAAAAAAAACCCAGCTTGTCAAGACTTCGTACTGTACGTTTCATTTTTAAAGCCCATGCAACCTGTTTGTTGAAATTAAAACAACTTTAAGAATATTTCGTAATGCTTGAATGAACCTCTAAATTTACCATTCATGTTTATCACATTCAGATATCAGAAAAGATACAAGACTAACACACGCTGCGGTATTTTTGGGGGAATAAGGTAATCGATGACTCAAATCATCATATGAATAATAATGAATACCTTTTATTATATGCATGTACGGTACTAATGATATTGTGCCAAACGTGCACATGTGTGCGTTATATCGCCCAAATGCGAGCTGCGGGTCCAGGTTACCCGCAGGCAGCACGCAGTCAAACTCGCATCTGAACTCACCTTCTGCAAACCGGCGCTGAGGTCCATCCCAGCCGCCTTTCAAGCCGTCTGCTCTCAGTCTCAAAGCTAAAGTACCGCAGCTGCCCCGACCCGCTCACCCGCACAGTCGCGCTCATTTGACAGCGCGGATTTTTAACTCGCAGCCTCGGCTGGGAATCCCTGCATAACTTTGCCAACCAATTATAATAAACTTGTTAAAAAAGAACAGTCGCTCGACCAATCGAAATGTTCCGTATGGACTTAACTTTTTTCTATGTCGTTGTTATAAATCAGGAACACCCAACTTAACCCCCCCACCCCCCACAAAAAAAAGGCATGACATCACCAGCTAACGCGCGATACAAGGTCGCAGGAATTCAATGTTTCACATACTTTGTTATTTACATGCTCGCGGACCGAGGGGAGGATGTTTCCTGTGGTCTCAACCTCTGTACAATTTTGTCTTTTTATGGAAGAATTGAGGTGGCACAAAAATAACTAACAAACCCAGGCAAACATGACTGTTTAATTGTGCAGGTATCACGTTGCATTTTTGAGTTTATTAGGTCATGTTAATTTCAAATGCATACTTATCTGAATGTTCATAAGCTATTCGAAGCACTGCTATTTAAACTTTTACGTTTTTAAGTAAATGTTCGTCGTTTGTATTTATTAGGCCTAACATCGCCCACGAACAAGGCAGAGAGGATGAGACATGAGGCATCGTATCGAATCACAGTAACTGGATGGGGAAAAGACGTTTGATAGAAATAAAAACTATTTCAGACTCCCAACTAACACAAGTCAACGTCAGAATGAAAACCTCTTCACACTGACACATAATCTGAAAAATAGGTGTGCTTATAATTCCTACAAGACAAAGGTTTAAAAATGACAACCCAGTAAGATTAATTATGGTATATTATTACTAAAAACAAAACTTTTAGTCTTAGATATTGTTGAATCTTAGATGATGTTCGAGAAACATCAGTCTGAAGACATCCACCACTGTATTCTTCATATTGAATATTTCTTGATACTTTTTCAAAGTATGTTTTAGTATTTTTTTTAAAAAAAAAAAAAACTAATTCAGTGATTATCACACAGGTAATCTCACATTACCTTTGGCAGAGAAAAATATGCAATTCGATTTACAGCTGTTCAACCCATTTTTTTTTTTAGAGATTCGTGAAACAAATAGGAATGAGTCAGGACAACTGTGACCAGACTGAAATGACCGGATTACCATGTGATCAGCTGTGACCAGACTGAAATGACCGGATTACCATGTGATCAGCTGTGACCAGCATTCACAAAGCTTGCCTAACTGAAGTTAAAGCCGTCCGAAAATCATGATCAACAGTGTAAAGTACGTTTTTCCCCCCTTTGTAAACACTTCCACTGACATAGGGCATACAGACCTCTGGCTAGCGACGATATCAGGTGCTATGAAATATCAGCTATTTAAGGCATAAATACTTTGAAATTACTATTACCCCAGTAATAGCTGTTACACTTATCTCAATGCATACCCAGTGTCTGTTACCAAAGAATGTACATACAAAAGACTTCTTTAAATCAGCGGGTATGTGCACTTGGATTTTCCATTGATGGATGGTAGATCCTCCTCCCCCCGCTTCCCTCTTTGTACACATCAGCACACACTGGATCACTATCCTTAAGCTGAAATCCGACACACGTTCCAAAGAATCACGTCATACGTCCGCATGCTGATGAAATGGTCTGATCTCTGGGTCTGATGAATGGAGAGACGAGGCTCCGAAAAGCCAAGACGGGGCGGCTGATCAGGCACCACCAGCCCCCGCTGCGCTCCCCCAAATTCCTGGCAGCTACTTTATAACTTTCCCATTTGGCTAAATGCAGGCATGAGTGGCAGCAAAGGACAGTAGCACCCGATGTAGCTTTTAAAGCCTAAATTTCAAGAATTTTTTTTTTCTTGATTAGAACATCCTCACACATACAGCGACATACACACACATCCATATGGCGATCGTGAGCTACCCTCTATTATGCATAGCGAATCTCACACAGGCCCAGGCTGTGACTCCAGCCCCTTCGGTTCAGTCCAGCCGCCTCCTCTTGTGACAGCTGCCCAGGCTCAGTGCAGGAACGTCCTGCTCGTCACCCCCCCCCCCAGCCCCCCCTACATAATGATGCTTGGATCAGGCACAGAGTCGGAGATGCATTTGTGAGGCAGCACGTTGGCCCCGTTGAGGTACAGTTCATCGTTGACGATGACATCCTCGCCCAGCACAGTGACGTTCTCCATCCGTACCTGTAGGTGACAGAAGCGAGTCCATCACTGAAAGGCACCACTAGGAGATGTGGCAAACAGAGAACAGGAAGGCAGAGCACAGAGTGGAATAGGACAAAGTGAACATGCACTTCTAACAAAAGCGAAAACGTTCCCATCCCAGTGGCAGGGAAACCGTGAGCTGTCCCCCTCTGGGCATGTCCTCTATGCCATGTGCGTCCAGACTGAGCTCATCCAAAATCTGAAGGCAGAACGTGACCAAACCTGTTCGTGAGTGTGTGCGCGTATGCGTGCATCACCGCATGATTTCCGTGACCTCATCTTATAAGTGTCGGGGTTAAGTGTACGCTGGCGTGTGCACCTGCGAGAACCTGAATGAGCTCATGCAGTTTTTGAATGACCAGGTGAGACGCCAGAGTATGTGTGTGTGAGTGTGAGTGTGAGAGAATACACCCATTTGCACTTCTTACCCACTGGCCCACGGAGGAGCTCCAGCCCACGATGCAGGACTCCAGCCAGGAGTGGGATCGCACCCGAGATCCCCTCAGCACGGTGCAGCGCTTGATCCGCACCCCATCCTCCAGCACTACCCCTGCGCCCAGAGTCACGTTGGGTCCGATGGTGCAGTTCTGCCCGATCTGAGCGGTAGGATCCTGCCGAGGGGAGCAGCACAGCAGAACTCAGTGGTTCATAAAAAAATACCGAGTTTAATATCCGGTGACGAGTTCAGTCACTCAAATCTCACACTTTTACAGCTGGAAGTTAATGAAGAGAGCTTGTTCTGAAGAGTCCACTTTAGTAAAAAAATAATAACAAAAATGTGCTATAAAGAAAAGCCCAGAAAATACATGATTGCAGACTAGATGAAAGAATCTGCTGTTAACGCAGTAGCACCCCCTAGTGGAATAAACACATACGTTTCATCTGAGCTCTCCATACAGATGATTGGAATTCCCAGCAAAGATGGAATCACTTTTGCTTTGGATACATACTCTAACAATGAATAAATCATGCTATGGGATGACTGCTGCAAACTGCTGAATCAATATGTTGGCAAACTAGGGTGGTACGGTACCATAGATAGTAAAGGGTTTATCCCTTGATTCACAAAAATATGCAATCGGAATAAATGGATGGACTGGAATCCCATCCAGGATGTGACCTATGCCTCAGGCTCACTAAGATGTCTCCTAGATAAGCGTCACTGCAAATAAAAACAACTGCCAAATACAGAAAACACTGCCAGTTCGCATCAGTGCACCAGCATAAAGCAACATGATGCGATTGCCCTGATTAAATGTGCACCAGATACGATTTGGGATGAACTCAAGATACATTGTTTCTAACATCTTTCCATCAGTAAAATCTGATTCACTGATATATAATTATTAGTAGAGGTCATATGCTTTTGTTATTCAGAAATGTCACAAATTTTTGACCAGTAATTTTATATTTAAATTGATTTCCCCTCTTGAAACCGTTTCTGTACCATATCGAAGTACATAGCATCACATTCTTTTGCGTTGCATTTGTAGCGTGTTGAATTACATTGTGTTGAATCAAATTGTGTCGAATTTCACTGCATCTCAATTGGGGTGACATTGCATTAGTAGGAGTGTATCTTTAATGTAACGGATCGCTGGCGATGCATCGAGATGTGTATCCCGTCTCTGCAGTGAGGGGGATGCACATCCTACTTTAGAGCAGTGTTTCCCAACCCAGTCCTCGGGGAACCCTGGACTGTCCAGGTTTTTGCTTCCTCTCAGCTCCCAGCGCACCTGTACCAGGTATTTGGTGTTCCTGATTGGCTGGGAGGGAGCAAAAACGTGGACTGTCCCAGGTTCCCTGAGGACTGGGTTGGGAAACACTTTTTTAGAGACGAAGGTGAATGTCAGCGAATACAGAACTGTCCTGCGTGACCATGTACAGCCAACGGCAAATTGTTCCTGGGAGAGGGACCCATACATGATCAGATGGCATTAATGAGGACAGAATCATACTCTGTAGCTGAGAAGGTCACCAGCACCATTCCCACCATCAACATGCCAGTGAGTGGAAGGTCATGTCAGACCTTGCTAGCATGGGTCTGGACCCTTGGAGGATCCACAGCAAGGCATGCAGGAGCTGCTTGTGCGGCTTCCATCATTCTATGAGTTCCCTGTAGGACATGCATTTAACTTTCTCCATATTTTCTGTAGCCATCGAGGTAGCTTAAAATGATTTACAAACCTGCAAGTAAAGTATTTTAATTCGAGACTTGTGAAAGTATCCTAACCGCACATACAGTGGGCAGTGGTGGCTTAATGGTTAGGGAAGCACATTTGTAATTGAAAGATTATGGGTTTGAATCCCTGATCAGTAAGGTACCACTGAGGTACCCTGAGCAAGGTACCGCCCCCAAGCACTGCTCCCCGGGTGCTGAATTAGCTGCCCCCTGCTATATCACGATGTCACATACATATAAAATACAGAGGCCACATTTCATTGTTGTGTGTCATCACTGATCACCAAATTCTAAACGCAGTCTGTTAGGGCAACTCTGGACGCTTCTCCTCCTGGGGTCTTTACTCACCACAAGGACGTTGCCCAGGAAACCAGGCCCAGTGCGGAGTCTGTCTGGACTGTGCTGCCTCACGGACTGCAGGTACATACACATCCCTGTCAGGAAGTCCTTGGGCTGGCCAATGTCCATCCAGAACCCTGGAAAGAAAAGGCACACACAGAATTCGATAAATTCAAAAGGTGAGAGTATGTTTGTATCCAAGGCCATTTTCAGCCGCTGCTTACCCAGCCGAGCATTGATAGTGCTCTAGAGCAGTATCCCGAGAAGCATACAAGGCTAACACTGGTTTTGAAGGGACAGCAGTCCATCACAGAGCACAGGACAAGAACGCAATAAACAATACATACAGCAGGTTTTAAAGCAGGGGTGGGGAACCTGTTCCATGGAGGGCCGGTGCGGGTTTTTGGGATTGCCTCACAATCAACCAACAAAAGCAATGGTTCTCAACTCCAGTTCTGGGGAACCACTTATTGGCTGATTGAGAGGCCATCCCAAAAACCCACACCGGCCCTCCATGGAACAGGGCCCCACCCCTGCTTTAAAGCAATGCTGACATGAGACTGGCATTTGTTATGAATATAACAAAGGGAAAAGCAACATTGGGCTTGCAGTCGTGATACCCTGAAGCTCCATGGCATACAGATGTCCCTCTTGGGCCATTTTTGGAAAGATCTCCTTCTCAATGGAAGTGGGTCTCAGCTGCAGGAAAGAAACAGAGCGATCAGCATGCAGGTGATGCTCAAAGAAAAACTTAAAAGGACTTTTAATTGTGGAAAAAGTTTCACAGAAGACCAGAATAGCTCAAGGTTGCCTTACTGGCAGCTATACTGACGTCACCATTGAGTGAAGGGAGGGAAGTCACTGACCTGTATCCTATCCAGCATGGAGGGGCTGAAAATGTACATCCCCGCATTGATTTTGTTGGAAACAAAGACCTGAGGCTTCTCCACAAAGCGGTGTATGCAGCCGTTCTCCACTTCGTACACGACCACTCCGTACTTGGATGGCTCCTCCACCTTGGTGACCTGGCATACAGTGTCGGTCAGACCTCCTTGGCTTTTAAAGACCACCTCTGCTTAGCTCTGCCCCATGCCCCTGGCACTCACCACGATAGTCCCCTCCCTTCCGTGATTCTTGTGGAACCTGAGCATTTCCTCGAAAGGGAAGTCACAGATGACATCGCTGTTGAGCACGAAGAAGGGCTCAGAGTCGTCGGTGAGCAGATCCCGGGCCAGGGCCAGAGGTCCCGCTGAGAACAGAAAACACAGACCCCATGAGCCACTGGCACCTCCCACAGCCCAGCCCCTAACTCCTCCAGGCACAGAAGTAATGGTACAAACTCAATCAGTATGACAAAACACTACAAGGCCAGATTACACTTGGCATCCAAAACATCTTGACTAGCTGGATAGTAGACTAGAGTCATGCAGATAGTAAGATAAGGCTCCACCTGCAACCCTTAGGATATGAATCTAACCACTTGTGTCCACGAGACAATGAGATAAGCATTTACCTGTCCCCAATGGCTCCTTCTCATGAGAGAGGGAGATCTTTATTCCTAGCTGTAAGAGAGAGGAGAATAATGGACATGAAGAAGCTGGAGCATGAAGACCCTGTAAATAAGTTTTCCTTAATGCCAAAAACCACTCACAAAATACAAGAGATTTTGTTTCGAAGGCCAAAACCCAAATGTAACTCAAACATCACATACTCTTTCTTCCTGGACCCTCATCTCTCGCTCCAGTAGGTCTGACATATAGCTCACAGCCAGGATTACATGGTTGACTCCAGCCTAACCGGACGAAATAAATAAATAAACAATAATCACACAATACTGCCAAACACCAGTATAAAAAATGCAATGGGGCACAGAAACAAGATGTACAATAAAACTACTTCCTTAACATAAAGTGCGATTCTTAGCCAGCCGGTTACACAATTTTAGTTGACAAATGGTTAAAAAAATAATTATAATTCTACTTGCGATAGGAGAGTTTTTGTGAACCAGTTAAAATGAAGAGAACGAGGTCAGGTATGACGCAAACAGCGCCCCCCAGCGAGAAGCTCACTGACCTTCACCAGAGCTTCCACCTGGTGCAACAGGATCGGCTTGTTGCAGAACTCAACCAGCGGCTTGGGCACGCTGAGGGTGAGGGGGCGCAACCGGGTGCCATAGCCGCCAACGAGGATCAGCGCTTTCATGGTACGTCTTCATGGGGAGATGGGTACATAATTATTTACCGTGGAACAGGGAGGCAGTCAATTCAGAAAGCTTCAAGGTTCATAGGATTAAACTGTTATGGCTGAGAAGTCCATTGATCATACACACAACACCACCAGAATGTAACATAAAGAAAGAAAATCAAGGTTCACAAAGAAGTATTCAATCGCCCACGTCAAACAAGTCGGATGGAAAGGTGGTGTATTTTTTTCTCATATACTATATGACAGCCTTCGAACTGAAGAGAAGATTCATTTAAGTTTTGATTTTATTTTAAACTATGGTAAAAGGTACCCATATAATGCTGTGAATCTGCCTGGCAGTTAACAGAGTCAATACACAGTGGAGCTAACAAGCTAAACAGGGTTCAGTCTTTAGAAACCTATACCTAGATCTGACTGTACCAAGTGTAACTATTAACTTAGTTCATAATCGCGATCACAACGTTGCATTACTGTACTGTACATTACAGTACCACGAGAAGCAGCTTAACGTATCGCAGCCACGTCGTCTCAAACCCACAACCAGGCGGCAAATCAAAGCTTGACAATCAACTACATGCATTCCATTAACTTGAAAAATAACCATTTGGTTACAGATGTCCCCCTATGCAGCAATCTAGAGAAAATGAATAGAAGACACTTAAGCCTATAAGCAGCGAGCTTCACCTCCCTTAATTTGACACTTACCTGTGTACTTTAGCTAAAGTTAGGCTGTACGATTAACATGCGTTAAAGTAAAAAGGCTCGGCACACAAACGTGGACAGACCGAAAGGAAGAGTGAAAGCCTATCGATTAAACAAAGAAACAAAAATAAAGCAACAGATTTTATGCACGACTAATCATAGTCAGGAACGTTTACTGCTTTTCTTTTGAATGACTACGTTTCTGGGACCACAATTCCTCTCAACAACATGTACACGTCACCCGAGTTCATAGGTTATTGGGTTAAACCAAGTATTTAATGGGGGAGAGTTTCACATAAAATTGAAAAAGCGCCTTTATTTTCAACTAAATAAAAACAAAAACATACACGTAAAAATGTCAGTTTATCAAATTCAAGTTAAAAATTACGGCTAATAAAGTCGCGATCTAGTACCTGACCACCAGTGATTTTTGTAAGTTATGCAGACCTGGAATTAATTTACTGTGGCGCCACACATACGAAAAACATCTTGATACACAAAAGTCAGACACATCTATACTTGGCAATCTTGGTCAATTTCAAAACATAGCTAATTGCGAAAAAAACAGCTGCATAAATTGCTTACTCCTGTTTCTGTGGTAAATAACATCCCCTGGTTATGGTACGTCCCATATCCTCGAATGACCACGCCCACTCTTCTTCACCAATAAGATATTAACAACGTGGCGAGGAAACAGTCGGAATTTGCCGTCAAACTGTCGCGGAATGAAGTTTAGCAGGTTTGCCGACCTGTATCGTAACGTCAGCAAGCCAATCAAATTGTGCAGTTCATGTCAATTTAATGTCCATGTTATTTATGGTGGTATGAGCAAGATGTTATTGTTTCTTAAAATGAGATTAAAAAGATGTGTTAATTTTTATCTTTCATTTTGTGGAAGAAATAAGGTTGTTTCTAGATGAAACGCCGTTCTCGTTTCCTACAGAAATGGAAATCCTTCAAGTTTATGCATACGTACTTAATGTGCAGTCTCTCATTAGTAAGCTTTGATTGGATGAAACACTGACAAAACCAGTGGTTAAAACGTATGTAGAAAATGTATACACAATTCTATTGTTCTCGTGACAATCAAAAATGCAAAGTAAATATGCATTAACCTAATGGTTAAGAACATTTACGTTAAACTCCAAAAAAATTACAAAAAGTTTTTTGGCCAAATAGGCTTCATTATTTTTTTGTAGTTATTTTCCCTACTACACAATTCAACAATGAAACATTACGTAAAACGTAGGCAAAAATGAAACAAATCAGACGACATTTTTTAAATAAACATTTTAATGTTCACATTCAAAGGTGTCATATAATAATTCTTCTTAAAAAAATATCCATTCATGCAACAAGAAGAGATACTTAAAATTTTTGGGTAATAGATACACTCTACAAATAATTTCTCACATCTATGCAAAGATTGACATCTAACATCCACCACAGAGCAGGGAGCCATACTGGAGATCAAAACCATTTACCGATATTGAAATCTACTGTTTATTTTCTTCATGTGAGGAACCCTTCTAATCTTAAATACATAATAGGGATTATTTTATTGCAAACTGAATGCTGATTTAAATATATAGGCTTTACGTGAAGGCAGCTGCTTTCCTAAAAGAAAAAGGTTAAAATCAATCATTTTCATGGATCGTTTAACACTCAGGGTTACTAAGCGTCTTAGGACACTCTGTAAACCAATATCTGTTACTGTCCTTAAATATACCTTTGCTCAACCTCATTAGCTCAAATTGGTCATTGAACAATTCAAACTGGGGGGCGCCAAGTGGTCTGATGTCCATTTTACATCTATACCTTTGATATTATTTCACACTATTGAATTATAGGGGACTTCGTCGAATGCCTATAAATTCTATAACATTGGAAGATCTTGACGCCTGCAGAAAGGAGCACGGAGACATTGCAGAACACCCAGTGATGCAAGAAATTCATTATCACGCCACTGGACACAGTAACAGGAGTGACCTGAGGAAGTGAACGATTCAAGTTGAGAACGACTGGATGACCGTTTGCTAAGACACTGGACAGCAGTATTTTCTCCACAGGTGCACAAAATTCACTGCAATTAAAAACCAAATACAAAGGTTTTTTTTCATATAATATTCCATTTGTCATGATGTCACAAAGAGGCTTTGACCATACACAGGAACTGCTCGACAACACAATGTAACCAGGACTGTATTTTCTGAGCACTTAAGCTACATCAGGGTACAGAACAGAAATGACATATTATGTAGTGGGGGATTTCACCGTCCGGTGGCACGCTTCCTTACAAATGTGCTTGCAGGACCAGCATCCAAGCCATTGCGCTCACCAGGAACTCAGGGACATCTCAGGTCCTGTGACGTGTTACTGCCAGGCATAGAATCACCCCGTAAGATGACATCCTAACTCAGTTTTTTTTTCCTTTTTTTTCTTTAAAGATGCCATCTCTGGCTGTGCTGGGAGGGACGGGACGAGCAGAACAAGAGAAAGGTCAAGTATGGTTATATCTTGTCACTTTTGTTTCATGTTTCTTTTTTTTTGCTACATGTGCTGATGGAGGAATACAGTAACACAGTCCACAGTATATGAGTGCAATCTCTTTTTCTCTGACCCTTGACTCAAACTCTAAAGGTCAAGAACAACGGGATGAAGAAAACGAGACGAAAGAATCACACTTCTGACAGGTTCTTGATCTGGTTCCCACAGTGCAAGTTAGAAGGTGGCTTTTTCTTTTGGGATCGCAAACCAACCTGAATGGAGGAAAGTATCTAAGACACACACACAGACACACAGACATAGACACAGACACACAAATGCACGCACCCTTAAAAAAAAACAAAAAACAGAAGTCAGGGCTGTGAAATAGCAGCCCTTAGATTGCCTGGCCTGCTGTAAACTGAGGGGCAAAGTCAGACAGTTAAGGGATTCCGTAAAATCATTAGCTTGGTATGAATCTCGAACATGATGAAAAAACAAATGAATGTGAATTTACTGACTAGAAGCTTATAGGGGAAAAAAAACTGGGGAAAAAAAACTAACCAGCTATATATCAGACGTACATAAAGCTGTGATATTTAAAATGAAATATTTTCTCTCCCCTTCTAATAATAGATTAAATAACTCCTTTTACTATATAGCTTCCAAAAACATTTCCACAAGGCCTAATGGCCTAACAGAATTATCCTTCTGAGCAGTATCTGAGGGGCCATCCCCTGAGCACTACCCTAAATGCACGCATCTCCTTGTAGCAACCCCACAGTGGAACGACAGGGCACGACCCTGAACTTGCCCTGAGATGCAGCGTTGTCTCTGGTTTTCGGTGCAATGCTCCAAATGGCCACACGGTGGCGACAAACCCACGAGAACTGCTCAACACTGCTTACTTTCAAGGGGACGGCAGCGGCGTTCATGCCGACGACTGGATTAAGCAGATCCTACCATACTATGATCGCCATTTCCTCAGAGCTCTTCAGTGTGGGGTAACAAGGGTTCTTGTCAACCCTAAGCGTTCGTTACCATGGCACTGCGAGAACACAGGAGAATTCTTGTTTCTCCAGTATGATCCTGTTTACGCTGATCATCGTTTTCGTTTTTTTTTTTTTTTTTCTTTTTAGGTAGGTAGGTGGGGTCGAACTCTGCTGGAGGAGACTGACGAGAGAGGCTGCCCTTGTCCAGTGCACCTTAGCTACTGGTTCTCCTCCCGGATACTCTCCAGAATCGTGATCAGATTCTCCAGTCCAAAAACATAGCCCTTGTCGGGCCCGTCGTGCACGGTCTGGTCATCACGGAAACCTTTGAAGGTGCTGTGTGCAAAGTCGATCATGCGCACGTCCACACTCGGTGTGGGGATCCCCAGGGACGGGGATGGGGGCGGCTCTGGCGCGGCTGGGCCCAGGTGGTCCGTGTCCCTCTCGGGGGCCCCGTCACACGACACCTGCCGGGGCCCCGCCTCCGCCTCCTTGCCCTCGTAGATGATGAGCAGCGAGCTGGAGTAGAAGCGGTAGGAGGCCTGTCGCTCGAGCACGGCCTTCAGGCTGCGCAGCTTGCCCAAGATGGGCTCAAACAGGTCCACCCGCAGCTGCAGCCCGTTGTGCATGAACTGGTAGAGTGCCTGACGGAAGCCATCGATGGACAACCCCCGGCCGTAATACTTATTCCTGCACAGGTAGTGTCCTGTGTCCACCTGGTACACCTTTAAGAGACAGCAAGATGTGGGTCAGTCCACTGTTTACAATGAGAAAACGCACACGTGTGTACACACACACACACACACACACACACACACACAGTCCACATATTCATATACTTACGGGGACTCTCCATTTCTATGGGGGAAAACTCTAATCTCAACATGACAACCTTAATCCCTACCCAGCCCTAACCTTAATCATAAGTAACCAAACAAAATACAAGACTTTTGGCATTTTTTTAGTTTTTTGATTTGTCAGTCTTTTAGAAAATTGAGGTTTATATTACGAGCACTTCAAAAATATCCCCACAAGCTAAAAAGTAGCAGATTTCACCACATTGTGGGGACATTGGTCTCCACAAAGTGGTAAATAAATACATACGTACATACCGATCCAGACAGACAAAGAAAGAAAAAGAAAGAAAGAAATTCTCTAAAGCTGTTTCCTTAAACTAGACAAAATAATCTGGCTTTCTGCCCTGCAGTTTGATCCTTCTTTTCCTGCTGTAGTCGTTTAGGGCGATTAGGGATTTTGCGGCGGAAATGAGGAGATAAGGGGCTAAATCGCAACGTGCCACCCGATCCGCATATGAAATAGGGCCTTCAGCCCCCCATGGCGCCTCCACCCTCCCCCCGGGGGCACATCCAGTTTGCTGGATTAGGATAAGGGAGAGGCCACCGGGACAGCCTGCATCCTGGACAGAAACAGAAGCTCAGCAAAGCTCCCAGGAGGAGTGGCAAGCACGTGAAGGCTAATAATACACGGCTCTCTCTGAAAAATCCAGCAGGTCAAGGTCACCAGCGCCACCATCTCTCTGTACTGTCGGTCACCGCTTCTCTTTGTGCTCCAAACGAAAACGAAAAAAGCCAATCTAGGCAAGAATGGCCTCTATAATCATTCATCCATTTTCTGCACCTGCTTGTCCTATGCAGGGCCACACGGGTCCAGAGCCTATTGCAGAAGCTACAGGTTTGAGGCAGGGAGTAACTCGTCACAGTGCACACACCAGTCATACCCATGGACGATAGGGTAACTCCCATTCACATCATCATATTGTGGAAATTAGCAGGAGAACATTTTAAAAGGAATTTGAGGAAGCACTTTACACAGCGTGTAGTTAGAGTATGGAATAGTCTTCCTGCTAGTGTAGCGGAAGCTAAAACCATGGGTTCCTTTAAATCAGAGCTAGATAAGATTTTAACAACTCTGAGCTATTAGTTAAGTTCTCCCCGATTCGAGCTTGATGGGCCAAATGGCCTCCTCTCGTTTGTAAATTTCTTACACTCCTTATATATTTCGATTCTGGTTGGAAACCGGAGAAAACCCCATAACGACACGGGGAGAACATGCAAAATCCGTGTGTAGAGCGAAGGCACGACAGAGACTCGAACCCTAGTCTGGAGAGGTGTGAGGCGACAGTGCTAATCACTGCACCACAATGCTGCCCCCTACATCTATAATCAATGTTGAACAACTAGTAAGGGCAAGAAAGAGCTAGTTAGGAGAGGCACAAAGTAGTGATGGATCATGATCAGGTCCTGGCCTGAGGGAATCACACTCTGACTGGGTTAGGACATTCAGGATGGCCCACCTGCATACCACAGACGCGCACTCCCAGTGTGGCCGACGTGCTCTGCTGGCACTTCCTCATCTGGCGGGCGGCCTTCTCCTCGGTGGCGTCGTCGCCATGCTGCCGCGTGCCCATCTTCAGGTCCAGGATGCAGGGGCAGCTGAAGCGGTGCACCACATTCTCCAGCAGCAGGAACTCTGGGGGGCGGATTGTCAAGGATCTCTGGTGCCCCCAGGTGGACACTCACTCAAACTACATCACCACAAACCCACTTTCTAAAAACAGACTGGCTAACACCCCAGAACCAAACACCAACCAGACACTCACAACCCAAAACCAAGCATTTATTCAGGGGTAATAATGCATGTCTGCTACATGACAGGAGGACGTCATGGCCCGCTGACCCTAGGCCCGAGACGTGTCCTGAGAAGCCCCCCAGCCTCTCAACCACCAAAACCTCTTTCTGGCCACCTATCACACTGACTCTCTAATTAGGTCTTTCCCACAAAAAGGCACAAGAGAACCTAGTCAGTATTAATTATTAATATTATTATCATTATTCATCTGTCTTTACTAGGAAAAGCCAAACACCACAGGGATGTCTAGATGTCGCAGACAGGTCCATCTGCCGCATCTCGTACTTCTGCAGCCACGTGAAGGACGACGTTTGCAGGAATGTCGAGTCAATTAAAGGCTTCCTGTTGGCACCGATGCAATCAGCCGCACGCCACTTTCCATTTCGCGCTTCCCTGTTATCGCGCTTTTTGGATCACTGGGATGAAGCTCTGAGGCGGGCGGCAGCCTGATTGCGGAGCTCACTCCCTTCCTCACTTGAGTAGCGGAAATGTGGCAAACGCCTCCAGGGCAAACCAGAGCGCATTTTGAACCCTCACGCATGCACATGAGAGCATGCCTGAGTACAAGAAAATCGACCCGAGTCCCAGCTTACACTGAAAAATAAACAGATAAAACTATTAACATACCCAAACGCCACTCACACAGCTCCCAGCTGAACCTTCTGGAAAAGTTCCAGAACATTATACCCCATAAGTGATTCTCCAAAAAGGGGGCTACAGAGCTACTAATGTAAGGGAGGGAACTGAGGGGGGCTACAGAGCTACTGAGGTAAGGAGGGGGGACCTGAGGGGGGCTACAGAGCTACT